TGGTATAGGAGTCGGGAACAGCAGTGGGAATTGGATAGAAGGACAGTGTGTCTGTATAGGGGCGGGAAAAGCACGGGGTGATGGAGCGGTGCTTGCGGGGGGTCAGTGTTTGGGCAGTGGGGGTGGTGTCTGGCGGGGGTGGGGCAGTATTGGGCGTGGCTGTATGTGGCAGAGGTGGGGGGGCATGTCATGTGGGGAGGCAGTGTCAGGCAGGGAAGGTGCTGTCAGGCAGAGGGGCTGGGGAGGATGTATTTGGCTGGGGGCGCGATGAGGCAGTTGGGGTGGGGGTGGTCAATGTCTGGCAGGGGGCAGTGTCGGGCAGCAGGGCAGTGGGGGCGGGGCAGTGGGGCAGTTGGGATGTGGGGGGCTCCCTGTCTGGGTGGGGGCAGTGTCAGGCAATGGGGCTGGGGCAGTATCTGGGAAGGCAGGACGCGCTCCCCTGGGGTGGGTTTTGCTCAGGCTGCCAGATGCCCTCTCCCGACAGGTGCCACACACGGGGCTGGACCCTACAGTCTCTCTGGCTCCGAAATGAGCTGCAGCCCCTTTAAGCATCCGTTGCCAATGCGCGCCCCAGGCTTCGCTGCTAGGTGCAGTCAGGAGACGGGGATGAGGCCCGTCCTAACGCCGTGTTGGGACGATCCTCCAACGGGGCAGCAGCACCACGTAGAAATGCTATGCCTCTGTCATTCATCCCCAGGTGCGCGCGGCTGCCCATGGAGCGGGTGGGGAAGTGGCTGGGCCGCCCCCGGGAGATCTACAACCTGCTGCGGTTTAAGATGGGCGGCGGCGCAGCGGTGATGCCCCCACTGGACCAGGTGAGCAGAGCGGGCGGGGTGCGGGCTGAGGGTGCTGGCCACAGGGCTTCTTGTCTGATCCATGAAACCAGTGTCCAACCTTGATGCTGTCCTGTTAACAAGTACATGCCTACAGATGTTTGGTGCTCCCCCTGTGCCGAACGCTATCTCTCTGAAGTGGAGGCCTTAGAGGGATTAGGTGGGGCTCTTGGTGCTTGAGGGCAACACTGTTGTTCTCAGAAGTCTTATTGACTGTTTCCAGCTGAATGGAAAGGGTCTTGACATGTGCCAGCTGGCCAAGGCAAGGCCCTGACCTGGAGTCTGTGGCACAATATTCATTGT